GGTATCTCTCGCCGGTGCGAAAAAATCGAGACATTTATCACGAGAACGTTTATAATAAACGTATGTAGTGAAACCGTGAGGTTTTGAAATATTTAATCTGTTCGCACGTGCACACATACGTAGACACATACGCAGACATGTCTTTGAAAAGAGATAAAAGAGAAAAAATGCGATTTATGCGATCAATTTGATTGCAAAGTCACGAAACATTTTTGAAAATTTTGTTAGAGAATTTTTAATAGTTTTTTTTACAAGAAATTACAAAGCAGAAAGTCATTGTGTTCACCATTTTGATAGTTCTAATAGCGTTAATACGTTCACAGTTTTTTGTGAGAATCAATTTATGTGACAATTTTATGAAAATTGCTTTCATAGTTTAAAAAAAAAAAAAGAATAATAAGTAGCTATATAAATTCTAAAAGTGTTAAAATTAGAAATTTCGAGTTTTACTCTGTTCTTGCGGAGTTGACTTTACGTGTACGTACGCGAACGAAACGAAGTAAAACATCAGAAAATTTAGCAATTTAGAACACAGCTCGGTGAAATGGTAGAGAGCTAGAATTGAGAGTTTCTTTAATAGTTTTCCTTCCACCGGTAATTGGAAGAAAAATGAGAAAGGAACGAAATCTTGAACTCTACCATTATCGAGCTATGTATCTTCTATAAGAAGAGGTATGTGTATATGTGTGTGTGTGTGTGTGTGTGTATGTGCGCTCGCGCTCCGAGTTAACACACTATGGCTGGAGGTCTCTTTTTTCCGGTGGACGATATATTAAACGCGATTTAGCTCTGCTTTGAAACGAGCACCCACGGCACTCCATTGGTGGATAAATATCATGTCGTACAGAGGCGCGTCCCTTCGGATCCTTGTTAAAGAGGCGCGCGCGCGCGCGCATAAAGCAAATTTCAATCCATTAATGTTAAAAGGCTACTCTTGCCCGTCACGCTTTTTACCAGTATAATGCACTTGCATCGTTTGAGCTGCGGAGCATTTGCCATAGCAGTGGCATTCCATAAGCACGTGAAGCGCGCTCCAATGCCCGGGCGTGGACGCGTGGGATTGTCGGAGAAACATCCGTGAGAAAGAAATTGATAATGGCAATAAAAGTCATCGAAGTTGCTTTGTGCAACGTTTCTCACATTACGGAATGAGTGATTCACAAGCGCAGCTGCCTCGGATTGCGAAAGATCATGGAAAGCGCATTCCAGGCGTTTGGAAATCGATTTTAAAACGCGCGCCGCGTCTCAAGGTCGCTCGATCTAGGTGAGAAAATTAGCATAGAAACAAAGAGCTAAACTGTCGTCCCAAATACTTGGAGAATAAAGAAACGATGGTTTTTTTTTTCACACAAACAAATCGTATACAAATTCATTCTCGAAGCGTGAGACGCGCGATTCAAAAACAAAATTATATCGAGTTAAATTGCAATATCGCGTTCTGTTGTTACATTTATTGTCTCTATCTTACAAATGGATTTTTTCAAGCATATTCTAAAGAGTGGATCTTGTTCAAAGTTTTTCCTGATACAACGAAGAAAGTAGGAGGCAATTTTTCCATGTATGAAATCGTATGCGGCAATTGCGGAAAATACGCGGAGAAATCAGCAGCAACGTGTTTTCGCGAATTTCCTCGCGCATTTCAATCAGATTTTAATCGGATTCCGCGCGGAATGATAAAAAAAAAAATTATTCTTGCTATAAATACATATGCGCCTCTCTCGTATATATATATAAAAATTTCATTTAACTTAACGCGAACCGAGATAATTTCTCTCGTGCAATTGTTATTTCTCGCACGCAGTTTGCCGAACCGTATAACATTGCGCCTAATCGCCTTCATCATACATTCCGTCGTATATTTTTCATAAAACTCGGTACGCATTATCCCAGAGATTTTTCTTCCCAAACAGTCGTGAAACACGAGAAATATCTCTCTCAACGTTTTATTTGATTATGCAAAACAGTCCGAAGGAAAATGGGCTTCTTCGCTTCGCAACTTCTCTTCTCGGTTATATATACGGATCGAAACGTAAGAGACAATTGACAACGAAAAAAAAAAAAAAATGAGGACCGCATTCGCACCGCATTCCGATTTATAAAAGCCCAAATTCTATTCATCATGCCCAACCGCTAGAAGCATCAATTCCTTCGGGAGAGACTTGAGTGGGGGAAAAGGTAACGTTTATAATTAATTCATCCGGAAACCGGCTTGAAATTTAAATGCAACTACCGGGCTCTATCGATTTCTGTGTTGCCGCAACTCCGTCTCTCTCTGGAGGTGGCAGCACCAAACGTGCGACGTTGTACGTGGGCACTCCGTTCGCGAGCAAGCGCGGCGATCATGATCGCGCGACTGACTTGTTTGCATTTCGAACCTCTGTGTAGCACATCTGTCTTCTAAATAAAACAAAAACAAAAAAAAAAAAAACGAGAAAAGAGAAACACAAAAACACGCGCGCGGTTTTAAATATGGAGTTGGCGAGGAATATGAAGCTTCCGGAAAATTTTATTCCGAAATTCAAAACACAGTAAAACACGTTATTTATCTCGTGCACGAGAAGAGCAGTGGTCGTTGTTTTTATTATAGAATCCCAAGCAAAAATGTCACGTTACACAATACGCCACGTTTAATAATTCAAATAACCATTTGTAAATAAAAAAAAAAATAATAATAATAATGTTTTGATCCTCTTAGCTAGTATTTTTCATTGATATAAACACTTCAGACATATAATTCTCATCAGATTCCTATAAAAGCTCTCGCACAATGCGAGGGAATAGTGGACAGCGATAAGCAATAGACACAGAATTCCAACTCGTCGGAAATTTTATCGTTATTGCTTATTCTGTTTTCTGATCTGCATTGATACATGTGTATTTTTGTACGTCAGATTCCGCTGTTCCCACCGTTATTTATAAATATAAACTCTTTAAAACTGGTGTTATATATTTCTATCGCTATCGCTATTGCGTCCATTGTGCAAGGGGCTTAAGTACGATAGGATAGGTCAGTATGACAAAGCCAATTGCATCATTAGTGTTATTAACTAATAGAAATTATGGCATCTTTTTTTTCACACTCTCATGCGGATTTAGAGTATGTAATAAGATACCTACAATTTTAGGGAGGCTGCGAACCGCCAGAAGTGTATGTAAACAATTGCATTTTAGAGAAATCCCATGACAGATGTATGTACATTTCGGTGAGTTGCCGGCTCACCGAAAGAGAAAGAGAGAGAGCGACCTTTAAACATTCGAGTCAATCGACTCAGCCGGATTTGAACCTTTGGACCTCTCGGTTACTTAGTCCCGCACACAAACCAAGCCACAAGCCGCTTCGTAAATGTTACGCAATAATTTAGTATTAAATCTGTCGCGAATTTGAGGAATGACATTCGGACACGGCGCGGAAATAATCAGCGGGAATTGCGCGTGTGAAATATAAGACCCGCGCGCGGAATTGCCGAATATTCGCGCGACGATTATGCGAGATAAAATAAATATATCGGTTTTGTGTTCAATTTTCGTGCGGCTGCGAGCGCGAGATCGCATATCGCTTAAAGCTTCATAATTAACCGTTCGAAATCGACGATGGGCTTCGCGCCAGCCAATTGAATTGAACTCCGTTGCGCGGACTAATTTCTAGGGTTCGGGTTATTTAATGCGCCCGCTATCGATTAAATGAAATTTCGATCTGGGTGAGAATAGCGTGTTCGCGCGAAACGCATCACTAAATCCCGCTCCTCGCTTGTTCTCTCTCCGGTTTCCTAACGGGAGACTTTCCTTCGTATGATAATACAAAAAAAAAAAGAAAAAAAAAGAAAGAAAAAGCAATACCTACGCAGAACCCAACAATTTGCACATCCCCCGTACGCTTAATAAATGAAGAGAAAGTGTATCTCTCTTTGCATCGCAAATTTTTTCGCCTGGCTTTTACTATTTTACATAATACTATTGTTTCTCCTTTTTTTTATTTTGTTTTGTTTTGTTTTTGTTTTTTTTTTTTTTTTTAGATTTGCGAAACAAAGTTGCTAGGTAGCGCTGAATATCACTCACCGAAATATCACGCTGTCGCGTCTCGTTTGCAATTTTCGTCATTTATTTCGTTTATGTTTATATACGCGCGTTACGTACGCGCCGTACATTATATATGCGGCAAAGTTGCGAAAAGTTTAGCGGCATCGTAAACAACAACCATGTCTCAAATTTACATTACGATTTTCATAATCCGGCGCGTTTCCATCCATTACGTCAAACATTGCGCTAATAACGAGATGGTTAGCAATTCAACTGTGTTACTTGCATGAATATTAAGAACTTTATAATATCCCGATTCGTGTGCGCGCGCGGTTCTTTTGTCGCGAAACTTTTACGCTTGCCGATAAAAAACAAAAAAAAAATCTGTGTCGCGCTACACAATCGATACTGAACCGAAAAGTCGTTTAGAAAAAAATCGCGAAATCTGGCGGCTATTTACACGAAAGCGCCGTTTTTTTTTTTTTTTTTTTTTTTATTTTTTACACAAAAGATGTCCGCGTATCATTACGGCAAACGCGATCGTAAAAAAAAAGAGAAATCCTCCCTCGTTCGTGGATTTCGCTATTACCGCGATTTAAAAATGAGAAAACAGCACGGAAACCAACCGCGAGATTATGATAGATGCACGACGCTTTCTATCCTTCCTTTCTCCGCGCACGATACGTTGTGCACACTTTTCTCTCGCGCTCGTGTTTTAATAGTTAATTCACCATGATGCGGGATAAAGTATGAGTACGCGCCGGTTGTTCTACTTGTATCTCAGATGCGTTGATAGGCGCCATTTTTCAAAGCAAAGCTCCGCATCGCGCGAAAAGAAGAAGCAAAGTTCTTCTCTTCGAAGTTCGATACTTCTCTCTCATTAAATTAGTCTTTTAATTCAAATTGTGTATTGTAGTGATTTTTCGCGATGAAGTTTCGCGTAAAATTATTGCTAACGAACCAATTTGGTTTTTCTGTTGCAGAATTAGCGGATAAATGACCTCATGGTCTGCCACAATGCCGTCGGTGCTACTAATAAATTGTAAGTACACCGTGCCGTTTGTGCACAAATTGCAGCAACGTTTCTGATGTTAATCGAGCGCAACGAAGCTTTCAATGTGTTTGTATTTGTTTACACAGGTATTCTAACAACGTGGTGGTTCGTCGCCACAGATGCGATTACCGTATCGATAGATCGCGCTGACGTTAACGCCGTAAGTAATGTGAAAAGTTTTACATGATCTTCAAAATATATATCCTCTGTAATAAAATAATTTATTAAAATAATACATAATTTATTGTAATTTTTCATATATAATTTATTATTGTTAAATATATGAGAACGTCTCTCCTTAATAATGATATATTTTGCGATAAAATGGGGCGTGCAAATTCACTTTCCTGCAATTTGACGTTTCATTGTCAAGACTTTTAACGTCTAAATGTTAGAAAGTTGCGACGAGCGGTCGTCGTCGAAACCGCTCGTAGCGAAAAATTGTCCCTGAATTCGGAGAACGCGTCGTTGAAATACTAACGCGCGCGCACAACTCTCTGCTCTCGTGCATTTGATGCTTTATTGACGCTATTTTATTGTTGCGTAAGTCCACCGCGCCGGACTCTCTCTTTCTCTCGGTTTTCGTGATTTCGTTTGACGTTTCGCACGACTTTATGCTCTCGAAAACGCGCGCGAGGATTTCGATTTACTGCCTCCCGAGAACTGAATAAATCAGAGAGTCACACCGGAAAATAGTATTGGCTGTATCTAAGGCCTATTCCGTTTATTTTACGAGCGCCCATAAAAGACGCGCTCAACTATCCGTTTTGGAGGAAAACATTCCGGGCGAAATCGCTGGGATTTCGATGTTTACCCCGCGCGCTCTATTAAGGAATCTCGACGCGCGTGTCGAGTTGAATTTCATAATTTAACGGGCTTAGAAAGTTATTCGAGAGACATTGTGTTCCCGGAGAATCGCATTTATTTTCTGATTACCGCGACTTACGATCCCAACGAGAGGGGAATAATAGTCTCACTTACAATTTTCTCGGACCTTTATCGCGGTGAAACTGGAACAGGAACCATTCCATTAACCTCTTCAGGAAGTTCGAGTCTCGCGTTACCGTAGAGTTGTCGTCGTTTTAGCGCGAACGAAAGTTGTTTGATGTACCGTATATAGAAAACGCGCGCGCGCACATACACACACGCGAGAGAGCTTTACTCTCAAGACTATGTAACAAGTTTTCCGAACGCAATATGTATACGCACTTGGGATGAATTGAAATTAAAGTTATATATCGCGCGCGCGCGCGCGCGTAAAATAAATAAAAAAATACACTCGAGAAATTTATCGATCGAATACATTTTGTACAAGTTTTATCCATTGGGGAATAAAAAAAAAAAACGACACAAATTTATTTCGCAGCCATCGACACGATCGTCGATGATCGCAAACGGATGGCGGCCCCTGACCACTTCCTACGAGGAAACGATCGGCACGAACGTGTCGCCGTCGAGTCATCTGGAGAAAAACGTTCAGGTGCATCCGGTTCTGAGCAAGTTCCAGGAGCACATGGCGGCCTCGGAGAAACTTAAACCGCCGCGAAAGGGCAAACCGCCGATTCACGAGTACAGTCCGCCGAGCATACTCGGCAGTTTTTCGGTGTTCGGTCACGCGGCGACGAAGGCGCGCGGCGAAACCAAGACGTCGAGCAAGCACGTGGCCACGGAGACCAGAGAGTACACGTTTCTGATACCGCCTCCGAAGGACGCGTATCGCTTCGAGCTGAACCAACATCGAAAACCGATCTTGCGCGACAGCGGCAGTTTTCTCAGACAACCGCAATACGCCCCGGCGCACGAGGACATCATTCAGCAGCCGTCGGACTCGGTGCGAGCGGGAACTTACTTCATCAAGAACTACGCGTCCAGCACGAATCGTCCGTACGTGCCGCCGTTCGCGATGCCGCAGTCTCTGCAACCCCCGCGCCATCAGGCGAAGCCGTTCGAGTCGCTGAAGGTGTCGAACAACAACGCGAAACCGTACTTCCAGCCGCCGGGCGCCCAAGTTCCGGGCGATTTCGGCAAGCAGAGGATCGGCAACGACGCCTACACCGACCGATACCAGCAGCCGCAGTCGCACAGCGCCCAGATCCTGAACTCGGCGAACAGCGGGAACTTCTACAGCCAGGTGAATCATCCGGGTCACTTCAAGTCCACTTACGAGAGAGATCCCGCATTCCTCGTGCACGAGAGTCACGAGATCAGCTACGTGACGCCGTCCGATACGTACAACTCGTACAACTTCCGACCCTCGTTGCCGTACGAGACCCTATTGCCGCCCGCGGTCTACACGTCCTCGTCGACGCTGCCACCCACCACCGCGGTCACGCGCAATCCCAACAAATATGATCAGAACGACGCTATTGTGGAAGACTACAATAAGCGTCCGGATCCGAGCACTCGGAACAAACAACAGGAAAAAGGCGCTCGCACGGAAACGCCCAATTCCAGAACGACGAGTACTTACTACGTGTCGGAGCATCAGGATCTGACGCCGCCCACGTGGCCCAAGAGCAAATACACTTCCGACATCAACGAGGTGCTGCCGCGTGAGAATCCGCCGAGCAAATTCAACCAGGACGTCGCGAATCAAAATCAGATCACGCAGGTGCCGAAGATCGGCTACCACAGACCGCAGAATACCTTCGAGCCCGTTGAGGTTTACCAGCAACCGACGGCGATACCGGATTACGAAACGCCCGAGACTATCTCGTTGAAACATTTCAACGAGCAACAGTTTCTGCTTCAGCAACAGTTGCTGCAGCGCGATCGCGAGAGACTGGCGGAGCAGGAACGTCAGCAGAAACTGGAGATCGAGCAGCAGCAGCAGGAGGAGCTGAAGAAACGACAGGAAGAGCTGAATCAGCTTCTGCAGCAGGAGAAGGAGGAAGAAGAGGCGGCCAGACTGGCCGCGGAATCCGCGAAGAATCAGTCACAGGAACTCGTCAAGATCTCGGGCGAGATGCCGTACACGATTCAACTGGCGCAGTTCGAGCCGCAAGTCACCACGGCTGTTGACGTCCCGGTGTCGCAGCCGGATATTTACAACCTCGAGCAACTGAGACTCCAACCTCAGGTTTATATAAATATATTTTATATTTAATATATTTTATGTAAATATAAATATATTTAATATATTTTATATTTATATATAAATATACTTTACTTTATCATTTATTATAAAGTTTAAATGACGAATGAAACAAACTCACGTGCGAGGTAACGATGATGAATGGTCAGATAGACCAATCTCAGTTTATAAAATATTTCTTTCGCAAGAAAAAACTTTAACGTATCACATCTCTCGCGCGGCGAATCATTCTTACGATCAATCAAACTGATAAAAAAAAAAAAAAAAAAAATGAATTAAATTGTCAAATTGAGAAAAACTTATAATCGAACTCTCTTATGTAATATAAAAAATTATCGTTGATTTTTCCACGAGTGACGGGATTTGAAAACGTTTGTTGTAGATACCTCAGAACCCGGAGGACCACGTGAACCACAATTATCAATACCAGCAAAACTACCAGAACGAGTACCAGGAGCAACAGGTCGATTATCGCGAGCCGCAAATCGAGACGAGACCGTATCGTCCGCAGAAATCGTCTTCGCGTGATCCGCAACGTCGCAAGAAACCCACGACCGTCGCGTACGCCGACGTTTCGCCGACGGAACCGCCGAGTCAGTCGCCGGAGACGTCCGTTCCGTCCTCGTTCGGTCTTTACTCGGAGGAAGTGCCGATTCAGACGACGGTGGCGCCGGAGACGCAAACTCTGCCGGCGACGCAGAAACCCAGAACTCGTCGTCCGGGCGCGCCGGGTCGACGAAGAAAGCCGACGACGACGACGACGACGACAACGACCACGCAGGAGCCGCCCGTCACAGAGTCCCACGGCGTTGAAGACTTGGACTTCCTCAAATACAACCGGGAGGAAGCGCACAGTCAATACGACTCGCGAAGAAGACGAGTAAAACCCACTCAGGCGAGCTACAACGACAACGCGGAGAAGCGAGGAAACAGAAAACGACCCGGTCATCGAACCCGAGTGAGCCACGAGGAGCCCTTCGACACGCAGGTCGTCACGGAGAACGCGCACATCTCGCAAAACTTCCAGACGACGGAGTCCGCGCCGAGTTACGTTGAGGAGCAGAACAACCAGTTCGCGACAAATCAGCCGAGCGTGTACGGGACGAGTCACGTGAGGGAGCAGTACCCGACGAGCGAGCCGTTTAATCAGTATTATGATTATTCGTCGCAGCAGAACGAGGAACATCGCGAGAATCACGAGGAGAACGGCACCGTGGCGCCGGTTCAAGCGGAATACTTGACCGAAATCAGCCGTGACAAGATCGAGGACTACAGCGTGGTCGATACTCGTCAGCAGAACGCCAATGTTGTCACCGGCATACCGCTCGAGGACCTGTACGTGAAAACCGACGGGAATTACTACGATCGCGCGACCACAACAGCGCCGACGACCACGACTACAACGACAACAACCACCACACCGTCACCTACTACGGAGGCCGTCGCTCAGGTTATCTCCTCCACGTTGCGATCCCACAAGATCGGCCGCCCGTTGAGATACGGCAACGCCACGAGACCGCGCTTCAGCGTCAAGGATTACAAGAGTCGATTGGATTACAAGAGCAGATTATCTCAAGCCTCGACAACGGAGTCCGCGCCAACGAACTCCGGCGAAACATCGACGCGAAATCCCCATCCCAAACAGAGAGGCTCGTCGAGCGCGAAGAATCAACAGCAACAGATCCAATCGGGCGATAACGTGAGAGAGACCACGGGTAGGTACAAGTACGTCTCCAGAGTGAACTATCGAACCACCACGTCGTCACCTGTCGCCAGGGATCACGAACGAATCTCGGACGAAAGCGCGTCCTCGACGACCGAGAAGAGCAACAGGTTCGTGCCGAAGAGACGACCGATCAGCAGCAACGTCTATCGAAGCAGAATCACGTCCACCACGGCCAGTTCAGTTCGATCTCAAGCTAACGGCGACGCGCGGGGTTCGGCGCAGGGCTCGGCCCAGGTTAACGCCAGGCAGAGCTCGACGCGGCCGGAAAACGTGTACTCGTCGACGATACGGAGACGACCGGTTATGAAGAGCAGACTGTCGCACAAGGAGGTGTCCACGGCGTATCCGGACAGCAAGCGGCAGGAAGAGCCTACGGAAATGGCCGCCGAGGAAACCAGTTTCTACTCGGCCATGACGACCGCCGCCTCGTCGACCGTTCGTCTAGTGGGCAACGAGATCGTCAACGAGAAAGGGGAGACGAACGACCTTCCCGTGAAACTCGGCGCGCAAGAGAGCAAAAACGAGAACTCGATGGAGAAAATTGCTTCTCGAGAAAACGAGGAGAAGATCGAAACGGCGCCGATCGATGCGACGACCGCTGCGGTCGATAGCTCCGATCGCGAGCTCATCTCCAACGACGCGCTCGCGCATCGAGTCGAGAAGCTCCCGGAAGTTCCCCGCGAAGAAACTAAGACGGCGAACGCGTCCCGTGAGAAAGATCCGGAAGCCGCGACGGAGACGGTGACGAAGTTCGAGTTGCCTTCCGACGAGGAGGAACTGCTTGCCAAGCAGTCGCAGAGCGTGGCGGATCTGACGAGTTCCGCATCCGCGCTCTACGACAAGCCCGGTATGTTCAAGGCGGTCTCGCCGGAGAGCAGGATCGTTTCCTCGCACTTCAAGATCAGCACGGACGAGCCGACGTTGCCCATCGAGGCCTTCTTCGAGGAACTGTCGAAGAAGAATTGACGACGCGGAGCGTCGAACTCCGAAAGGAGGAGGCGGAAGGAGGAAGGGAGGCAGATTGTTGCAGAGAATCTCACGCGATCGATAATTCCAACTTACACGAGCAATGCAAAGATCGCGAGGAGAAACTGTGAGAATTTCCGTTCGAGAAATGTGTGAAAACGCGAAACATTCAAGATATTTCCGACGATATGCAATATTTCGCGTAGGAATCTATGTTTGAAATGAAAAAAAAAAAAAAAAAAAAAAAAAAAAAAACAGAAAAAAAATCACAAAACAAAATTACATTCAAAAAGACGACGGGCTTTCTCGAAACGTCGCATTGCCGTTCTCGTTCAACGTTGAATAAAAAAAAAAAAAAAAGAGAAAACATTTCGAGAGAACAAGAAGTAGAGACGTGCATATTACGTATTTTACGTATACCGCAGTAATTTTACAAAGTACTTATTTCTAAATTATCGTCACATCGCATCCACGCGATCATCATTTCACGAGCGTATTCCGCTCGCTCGATGTAGATATATTTATAATTAGAGAGAGAGAGAGAGAGAGAGAGAGAGAGAGAGAAAGAGAGAAAAGATTTTAACAATGTTTGATTTTTATTTTATTTTAGAGTCGTTATACCAAAAACGCCGAGTCTACGGAAAAAGCGTTGCTGCTCGATGAAACTGTTGGGAAAAGCAGTCACGTTTTTTCTCGTACTCACGAAAGAAGCTCGGCAGGACATTACGTACACGTGCAATATCTGTAGAAAAAAAGCGAACCACTCGACCTGCTCACGTCCCGTGGTAAATATTCTTCGTTGGTTTTCGCGTCGTTTACGCTAGATTATTTGCAAATAAAGAAACAGAAATACAAATTTTACGTATAACGTGTGTAATAGTTACATGTAACAATTAGGGTGAAATCATCGAGAAATCATGTCATATTATATTTATTTAAAATACGCGCGAGATCACATCCCCTCTATAATCCCCACATCTCATCGTTACCTTTCACAACACATTGGAGATGTAAGAGAGAACATTAATGAAAGCTATTTTAAAAACACATACTGTAAATAGAAATACGTAGAGCGCGTGTGTACAGAAACTATTTTTCATTATTAAACGCACAGCTCTGGGAGCGCGCAAAAAACACAAATGTTGTTGTTTTAACGAAGGAATGTTTTACGTGAAAAATATTATTTTGAAATTAAATTAAGTCAGAAAACGCGATAATAATCATTAAAAAAATATAACGGCAAAAATAAAAATTCTGCATTAAACCTTTTGCGGTAGAGATATAAACGTATTTTCCGAAACATTAAAAATTACTCTAACAAAGCTACATATACACTTCGAATTTATTACATCGCTCAGCGTGTTTTATTAATAATTTATACACACATATGTATCTCAATATTTTTATATTTGATTATATAATTGAATATTATATAATCGATATGTTCATTTTAATTTTACGTTATTTATGTATTCGACAATGATTATGTATATTGTAAATAAATATATGTACCAACTATAAATAAATTATAATTAGTGTACGTTAAGAGAGTTCTTGATTGAAATTTAGTTTAGAATTTATAGTTTAATTGGATTGACGTAACAATATATATATATATAATCGGAGAAATCGTAAAGAAATTAAAATACTACACACTATTTATGAAATAACCATAAAGGAGAGAGAGAGAGAGAGAGAGAAGAGAGAGAGTTAATAAGGAAATAACGTCACTTTAAACATCATATACAATCATTTGATTTAATAATTTGCTCAATATCCTTTCAACACTATATTTGAGTTACGGCAAATGATTACATGTATTTAATATATTATAATCGTGAACAAGTAAAATACTATTTCGCGAAATAGCAACGCAAACTCCGAAACTCTAAAGTACTAGAGATCTCTCTTTGAAAATTCTAAAGAGACATACACACTGGAGGATTGGCGAAGTGTACTTCTCTTACGGTTGTAGTAACTACTCTCAAATTTTCTTGCGACGGATTGTGCAACATTGACTCTTCTTTTTTTTTTACTTTCATTCCAAATGTATTCGCAAATCAGAATCATTTTTTATTCTAACAAAGCGGCGTTTGCGTATATGGCAAAGGATGGTAAATGTAGCACAATTTGTACTCACAATTTCGTATGTACTGTACAATTCATTGTTTTTTCCCAATCGCTATACGACGAACTAGCATTCTACAATCTCGACATAATTATCGATGTTATAATTATAGCAAAAACGAGACAGTATTTTACCCGTCTCGATATATTTCTTAGTAGTAATTTTTCTCTGATCATCAACTTCCTTCGCCGATTACATATGTGTGTTCGTGTATGTATGTATGTATGTATGACTGTGTGTGTGTGTAAAACCTACGAATACTTTTTACTTCGACGATATCTAATTTAGAATTATGCACAGGCCATACATTTCACATGTATATATACCGACTATATGCGTACTTACTTCACACGCATATGTGTGTGTCTGTGTGTGTTTCTATACACACATCTATAACGGGTATTCATATATATATATATATATACATATATATATATATATATATGCATACACGTCAGCTGAAGTTTTGTGTATATCGTAAAACTCCGTATGTATAATTGACAGTTAAAAGTTGTTGTTTTATATAGTAACTCGAGGTACAGTTCACATATATGTACAATAGTATTAAACTATAAAAACAAAAAACAATATATATATATATATAGGCACGCTAAAGTATACTTTTTTATGTACATGCACGCGCATCTGCTGCGCCGAGTGAGCAAAACCATGGACGTCGTGGTTACGTTCTCGTTTACTCTCTTTATCGTGGCAATCGCACGTTGCCAAGCTAAAGGACTCACGCGTTTGCGACTCTAAGTTATTTACTAAGCGCGTATATTATCGCGCAAATAATTTTTTTCCGCGTCGCGATAAGCCGCTTTGTTGCACAATAAAGAAAAGAGCACACTCTTCAAGAGTGAAACATTGATAAAAATATGGAAGAAACGTTGATATATCTTTTCTAGCGCGCGATGAGACTCGAAATAATAATAAGAATTTTTTTTTCTTTTTTTGACTCTTTGAGGGAAATATGTTTAATTGCCGTTGGGCCTGTCGGGAGAAAGCGAAGATTCGCGTCGATCCACCCGTCGATCTGCAACGCGATAACTTGTTTTCAGGTGAAACAGCGTGTGAAAATCTGCCACGTCATCGCGCATGTGTCGATGCACATTTACAATTTGCTCGATAACAAGCAAACTAACTAATCGCGATCGAAACTGAACGCCTAGAAGGTACATTATTTATTTGACGCGAAAGTTGGAACATTAATCGTTCTTTAAAAGTTCTCTCGTCTCCGTGTTTCGGTTTTCTTTTTTTCTTTTTTTTTTTTTTGCGTCTTTTACACGAAAGAATCATTAATATTCTGAGAGAGAACGAAGAGACAAAAGAGCGAACCGAGCCAACGTGTGAAACGCGAAACTTAAAAGGCACCTTTATGTTGCCTCGGAAGATTAATTAGTTACAAGCGGAATAATAGAGCATTTATTTAAGAGATGGCTAAGTTATGGCTATTATATATATATATATATATACCCAAGGGAACGAGTATAGCGTTTCAACATTCAATTATATCTTATATCAGAGAGTTTATTTTAGATCTATCGCGAAAACTGGCTAGTGTACGTGTACGTGTGTGTGTGTCTGTATGAATTTTTTATTTTAATAATATTTCTCTGTGTGTGGTTTTATACAAAACATTAAAAAAAGAAATGAATTTCAATTTTGATATTTTGAAGAATGTAAAGTTTATTTCTCAACATTTATTTTTTTTTTGTTATCTTGGAATAATTCGCTGCGATTCTTTCGTACATAGAAATTTTTTGGCAGAACGAAAACAAAAACATCGATGAATTTTTCACACAATTTCCGGACGTATCTATTATATTTCGCATGTGTGTATACACCTTTGTGAAATAAAAATATGTATTTTTTGGCTTTAAGCTTTTTATCCGTTGCTCACGGTCGTACAATCGCATCGGCGGGAATATTTTATCAATTTAATTGCTCGTGTATCGCTGAAAAAAAAAAAAGAAGAGCAACAGTGGCTTAACCAGTTGACAATTGAATTTCGAATATTTTAGCGAAAGAAAGAAAGAGAAGAGAGAGCAAGCGCGTGAACGATCTCGCACGATGCACACTTTGTATTTCGGCATCATTGCTCTGAAAGAAGTTCAGAAATGAATAATCGAGTACGATTAATTTTTTAAACAGCGCGCATTCTAGTGCGATCCCGAATAAAAATTCTAGTCAAAAACCGGTCTGTGCGGTTACGCCACTGTGTGTGTATGTGTGTGTGTGTACAACACGCGCATACGTGCGTGTTTCGAGTATATTTTTCGTAAAAATATAAAAAAGACAGCATCTTTGAGAATAAACGCACGAGTTTGGTTTGAAAACATACCATAGAAAAGGAGAAGTTATACAGTACGCCTCGTGTGTGTATAAATACGCATATATGTATACATGTACGATTTATGGAAATATTCCGTTTACGATAAACCTTGATTTTTTTTTTTATTTTAGACAGTGGTACATGTTTAATGATAGCTCAAGCTGATATTGATATTTTTCTATCTAAACGCCTATTAGCGCGATTAACCGATCGGCCTGTGTGTGCCGGACCGCAACAAATTTTCTCGCGCGCGCATTAATCTTTGTTATACCCTAGGAAAACTCGCGAGTCATGAAAGTCATGACTCGGCGCACACAACACCGCGGCAATTATACACTCCTCCGATTCAAGCAAAATATATATACATATATATATATATATAATATATATATACATACATGTATATATTCGATTCTCTCGTTCTCGCTCGTTGCGGAATTATACATTAACATAAACGACGTCATTATTCATTAACATAAACGACGTTATTATTTATTTTGCGAAATTCTGCGTTACGAAGTTAATGGAGAATATCAAAATTCTAAATTTAAAGAATATATTATTTCGCGCGAAAAATAACAACCACTGGCGCGGAAATGTACATTAATATACGGTAAAAATACGCGACGCGAAAGATGAATAAAATTTATATAATTTTTCATGCAAAAACATCGAAACGTTAGAATTTACACTTTTCAATCTTTAACGTTTACTACTCTCTGATGTCGCAGATTTCAAACTTTTCAAACAAACTAGAATATTAAATTCTCAAATAATTAATTTCCAAATGTAACGAGTTTCAAATTTATTAAAACTATCAAATCGAAGTGTGTGTAACTTGTACTTGATTACTAATTTACTAATTCTCTGATTTATAACAGTTGCAACAAATTTTTATATAGGTATCACATATTTATACGTTCGAATACTCGTATTTTTTTTTTTTTTTTTATGTCATATATATACACCTCCATTTCTTACACTTTGACATATCGCGTATAGGCTCATGTTCGCACGAGACGTATGTGATATACGATCTAATAGCACCGGCCGGTGTGTGTGGCTACGCTCACATCAAAGCGAATCTTTCACTTCGACAACCGCCACTTTTTCATACGTCACCGCTTCAATCGTGGTAATGGCTTTTCTCGTGAAAGGGACCAACCAGAAAACGTGTGTGTGTGTGTGTGTGTGTGTGTGTATGTGAGGGGGGGCCGATTGGTTAACGCGATGTACTTATAACACTTTCAAGCGGGTCTTCCTAATGCTACGACCCTTTTTTAGAATTTCCATGTGTGGCTTTGAGACGTTGGTCCACTTAGTTTATAGTACGTTTTATTATCACGTTTTTGTATAATATAATGTACGATGTGCCGCGCGACAAACGCGCACGAACACGCGCGCGTATATCTGAAGTCTAGAGTAACATCGATCTCTCGCCGCGATTCGCAAATGGATAAATAGCAATGAGGTGGAAGGGGGGAAAGAGGAATCGAAAATCGATGCTTGAATTATTCGCGTTTATTTCCAAAGTGCGATTGTGCCGACGAAAATTTTTGAAAAACGTATATCAACACGCAAATTCCGATTAAGCGATGTAATCCGATACGCGTTAGCATTAACACGCGGATTGTATTTGAACGCAAAAATTTTCGTTTTAATAAACACACGCGCGTTTGCCCGGGGCATATTCCGTTACAAATATCGCATAACATAATCGGCAGGAGAAACGACAGATTTGCATTATTTCTGTCGCATTTCTATTGTTATCCAAAATTTAACGAAAATTGATATTTTGAGAAAGAAAACAAAACAAATATTGCTTACGCCAATAGCGTAGCAATTTGCTTGTATATTATCTCGATGTAATCATATACCGACCGGCTCAAATGAAGATAAATAAAGTTAGATCGCCGATCAATCACAGGCAGGTGTGTGTGTGTGTGTGTGTGTATGTATGTATGTATGTGGGAAAACATCGACTTTTCCGATTCCCCCGCTGATGGATGATACAGACGAAACGCGAGGCGCATTTTCCCGAGCGAGTGTCGCCGTCGATAGCGTTCGTTGTTCCCGCTTGAAGTAGATTCGTCGCTCCTTAATTCGTGCCAGAAACGTCGGAAGTTCGTTAATTACGCCTATCATGATCTTTAGGAGAAACGGTCGTTGGTATAATACCCGGTCGGGGAAGAGGGGGAGGGAGGGACTTCATCCTTCTTATGGATGTGGATCTCCGTCGTCCGAGCGTTGCTTTTGTGCGCCCGGGACAGGACGTCATTAACGAACAGCAATTACTTTCCGAGAGAGATAATGACGCAACGTTGAGCGACGTCGAGCGACGTTCGTCGTTCGCAAAAAAAAAAAAAAAAAAAAACAGTGTGCGTCGAACGCGAACGTCGTCGAAACGAATGCCAAAGTGCAAACACGTCGCAAGTATTGATCGCGTATTGATCGATTATTTACAGTTCGCGTTCTGTATATTTTAACTCGTTAGAGAATAGAGGTAATCATTCGCAAGTGTGGAGAAAACTCGGAATGGAAAAACGACATTTAACTTTTGCGCGATATTCCGCGCGAATTTTAAAACAGAACAAACTTTTTGATGCCGAAAATCAGTGAACTAACAATGAATTTAATATCATTGGATGTAAAAAAAAAAAACACGTGGTGCTAAACGTGTTCTTGTTTTATAAAATTTCATCTGGAGCTCATGCAAATGGCTCATTTTAATTAACCGTCGTTAATCAACTGTATAATAATGTGCGTGTACTATTTTTTTTTGTTTTTTTGTTTTTTTGCAAGAGAATTGTGAATTCTGTCTTCTTGCCACAGGCAAGCACACACAGATGTTGAACGAAAAACACGAAACGTTGTGTTGTAACGTCGCGATACGCGCGGCGGCTCTTCAATTCGAACGCACGCGCGCGCGCGCGCGCAAGTGTTTCTTAAATCTACAACTTCGTTCACAGACAGATATCGCGCGATTTGATTTCCAATCGCGCGAATAACACGATCGCAGCTTTTGGCACTTCCAAAAGGGACGAGAAGATTATAAACCACTATATTCCTCACTGTCTGAGATTTGTTCAGTGTATTCTCCAATACCTTTCACCTGGATTTACTCACCCTCGCGAGAGTCTGACGTTTCTAAACGTGGTCCAGTACTTACTGAACTCGCTACGAGTGGGTTTCGCGCGGCAAAAGCATAAACGACGACTCGTCGTTTCAAGCACGTGAAACACCTCTCGGGGATGTATGCACGAACGATGGACGTGTATCTAAAAAATGTATTTCGCAATGGCGTTTAATCCCCGACTGCGCGCTCTTTTCGAAAATTTCAGACGCAGATTATCGCATTTTATTATTCCATCACAAACTTGCCGTTTCGTAACCAGACTAATTGCACAAAATTGTTGTTGTTATTTCGTTCAAACTCAAATTAGACGAAGTAACAAAGTTATACTATACACGCGCGTTTTGTATACACACACGTGTTATGTATTTTAAAACACATGTGTGTACGTAAAACACATGTTATTTTATCCCAAACCGTGCCGTGTTTGTAATCAGAATAATTGCGCAGTTGTTATTACTTCATTCGAACTCAAGCAACAAATCAAGTAATAGAGTAACAAAGTTACTACCTTTCAACATATACGCTTTGTATACACATACGTCGTCGTCAAAACGAATAAAACCAAAGTGCAAACACGTCGCAGATTAAATTATCGATCGATTAAGATAATCGATTAGTTATTAATCGATTATTTACAGTTCGCATACGTTTTTCACAACTGAGAAAAGAACAGGAAATTGTATCAGCGACGTATTATAACAATATAATTATAATATTATAAGAATATATATGTATATAACAATAACAATAATAATAATAATTCAAGAGAACGTAGATATCTCCAGCGTACTCTTCGATCGCAATTCCGTATCGAACGCGTTGTTGTAAATTATCTGTGGAGCTATATATCCGGAACCGCAGCTCCATGTGTGTGTACGTGTGTGCATTGTGTGTGCTCCAATCTTAGCCGTTCCCGTACAATGTTACGCGCGGGAAATACGAGGTTTGTCGTGATATCATATCCCCCGGACAAAAGGTCGTCCGCAAAACGATCCTCGTGCGCGCAGCGCGGGATTAAATTCGGGGGTATATAGTAATCGCGCGCGATTGATCATGAAAATTTATATAAGCGAGGAGTCTTACCTCCTTCTCGAGAGAGAAGCGGGTATCTTTTACACACGTGAAAAATTCAAGCGCACCGCTATGAAAGTCGCGGAGTATTAACTTTTCTTACACCCGGGCGTAGGTTAGGCGTGTGAACCCCTTTCCCCCCTTCCTTCCCCCCCGCCGATGTAAAAAGCGGTTAAAGAACACGCGGATAAATCTCGATTTGCACGGTTACATGCCTCGCGCGAGCGCGCGCGCGCTCGCGCGGGTAGGATCCATAAAATCCGAAAAAGGATATAAATCAAACCCGCATAAAAATTGCTCCACTTTATACTAAAAGCATGGCGGCATTTTTGCAACTTTTTTTTTTCTTTTTTTTTTACTCTCTAATTCGTTACACGTTTTACGAGCGTTTTATACGGTTTGTGCGCACGCTCACATATATATTTCTCGATAATTCAACTACAAATCTCTCTTTTCCTCTCATTCAGACGAAGAACGACGTCGTCGTTTTGAAGATTTCAGATAATATACAATTTTTACCGGCGGTAATACACATTGAGAAAGAGAGAGAGAGAAGGAGAGAGAGAGAGAGAGAGAGAGAGAGAGAGAGAGAGAGAAAGAGAAAGAGAGAGACTCGTTTCTCTTCGCGTTTAACATCGCGTCTACGAAATTCCGTTTGTAAAAGCGCGCTTCTTTCTCTCGGCGAAATGTGTAGTGTATAAGCAGCTTCTTACATTTTGAGAGAACGTTCGCATTACTAAAACGTTCGCAAGAGAGAATCTTTAACCGTGCAAACGGGGGGTTTTTCCTCTCTATCTGCGGCGTAAATATTGCAATAAGACGCACGCATGTTTCATGCGGGCGAAAAGCGCTCGCCCGCGCGCGAGGAAAACGGTTTCACCGGCAAAATCGCGGACGAGAGCGCATTCGCGAGGATTCTTTCCCGCGTTCGGGAATTCGGCTCCACCGCGTTGATCGCGCGAGTCCACGCGCTTCGCGGATCACGCGCGACTCCGTATCTCGGATGTCACTTGTCGGCGAAACTTTCGCGTCGTCGTCGTCGTCGTCTCGACGATCAGGAAGAATCGGGAGTCTCGCGGAGACTCGCGCGCTTGTAAAAACGATCTCAGCCGCGCGCTGAGAGCGCGAGGAAAAACTTCCGGACCAGGCAACTTAACAACTTGACAAGCCCCCTCCGGACGAGGAATTTCTTTTTGTTTATCCCTCTCAAGGACCCCCGTCGTCGACACGGCGTATCTTCTTCCGTGGCAACGTTGTTGTTGTTTTTGTTTTTGTTTTGTTTGTCGTCGCAATTACTGCGTAACGCTCGCCGTTTATTCGCCGCTCAACTCGAATCGGGAGATTCGCGAAAACGCGACCGACCTACATTTTTTTCGAAATCTTCTTTTTCTCTTCTTGCCTTTGATTATTCTTTATTTCGCATTAATTCCCGCGTACGGGCAATGTTTTTGCGCACGTCACGGGTTATCCGCAAAAAATCCATTTTCTTGATTATCAGTTTCGTTGCGCTTGTTGTGTGAGAAAATTCGTCATCAATTCGTCAGGGTTTGAAATTCGCGAGGGTTTGCTCTTTGCGAGTTTCAAACCAGAAAGAATAAATTGCGCAGATGTTGTTTAAATGATAAATTATTATGATTTCTTTTAGGAGGGGGGTGCTCACACGTAAGAAAGTACAATCGTTCGAATTTTTTATTTTTTCGCGCACTTTAATTCAGTGGCGGAATATTGAGCGCGATCTAAGGATGTGTAATAAAAAAGAAACCGCGTAATCGGATCACGCGAAATTGAATCGGGATCTTACCATAATTGGCAACAAAGTCTCTCCCCGCTCGGCATTGCCTCCCACGATCGAAACTGGCGCGATACAAATCGCGCGACAGTTCTGTGGTTGTCAGTGTACTGGCTTTTAGTTTCTTTTGTGTGCGCGTGGAAGTTTGAAAGCACAAACTGTCTGCGCGTTGCAGACAGTTCGTTCGCTATTGCTCGACAAATCGAAAGATCTCAATCGGTGACCTACATCTTCAGAGAGAAATTTCATTTTACTTATTAAATTTTATTTCCCCTGCTCCGCTCTTTCACTCTCTCTCTCTCTCTCTCTCTCTCTCTCTCTTTTCTCGTTTTTTTTACATCCTTACGGATAATAAATATAATTGTGTATACAAGTTTTCGAGCTCATACGTATTACAATTTTTTCCTGATAATAATCGCGAGAGCGAGAGAGAGAGCGAGAGAGAGAGAGAGGGAAAGAGGGACGGACGCTGCTTTCATATCAGTAAATCAACCGAGGAATGTAATCGAGCCGAGCAAATTGTGTATCTCCGATTCATCATATCTCTCTTTCTTAATACAGCCTCTCGCATATCTCGCGAGTCTTTGAAGCCGAACTCAAACGTGAGCCGCAAGAGATATGACTCGCAACGAAGATGCGAATACTTGCGCGTTAAAAAAAAACAAACAAAAAAAAACAAAAGCGATATCTCTCGCACGCTTTGTCGCGCGAGAGAACAGGGGAAACAAAATTCGTTAAATATTCTCACAGAATTCACAGCTGCGTCAGAGCGTTAATTGTATACAGACGATGAAAAAAAAAAAAACTGCAAACAACATTAGAGGTTTTAATTAATTAGATTTGCGTTTTTTTCGCAAAGCGTTTGCGTTTTGTTGCGGAAGTTTTGCATTTGATGAAAAAGAGCCACGTCATTCTCGTCGCGCGCGTACGGAAAAACGCGCGGGTCAGTCGAAAAACACGACGCGCCGAAAACTCCCTAATGGGCGGTAATGAATGTCCGTTTCGAACGAAAGATTACAAACGTCAGGCGGAATGAGTGATCGCGGTGTCAGAAACGCGCGGGGGCCGCCTCCGGGGAAAATCCCCGAACGCGGTCCGCGTTTCTAATGCTCGAGACATCGGGCATGTGTAATCGGCGGGTGTGATATAACGCGCGCGCATTTTCCGTATTCGACAAACGTACGCGCGCCGAGTTCACTGGGGACCGACGCAGCTGTCCGCTGTGATTTACGCGATGCTCGCGCAGCGCGGTCTTGTATACGTGCGGTATGTATATGTACATACGTTACATTCTCATCCTTGTGCGCACAAAGGTGCGATACCTATCCGAGGACGTTCGGTTTGCGCTCGCCGCCATAATTCACATCGTCTTTGCGAG